TGTGTGTGTGTGTATGTGACCTGCTGACACACATTCGCATCTGCATAAAGTGGGTCTCTTCATCTGATCTCAGACCTGCGCTTCACTGCAATAACACCAGCGGGGCGTGACAGTGATGTTGCTATAGAAACCATCACAGTGTAAAACTCTTTGTGTTGTGTTTTAAGCAGTACATGACTTAATCATGGGCGGCACCAAAAAGCTTAGAATGACCAAGAGGAGACACTCAATAGAACGTTCCATTGCAGCAGCAGCGCCCAGCAACAGCCCTGGATTCAGCCATTTTGGAGTGAAAGTGATCGGCCGTCCATTGGACCTCATTACTTTTGCGATGGCAAGCAGCTGCTTTGTTTTTTATTTATCTATTTTAAAATCGTATTAAAGCTGAGATACAACCTGAAAGACGACTATACAACACTTATTATCACAATCATCAGCACTTTTAATAGTTTATTTTACAGACTTATAAAATATGTTGCTGTTCTATTGGAGTTTTCATTCCAAAATGGCCGCCCCGCCCTCTAGTGGCTGTTTCCCAAATTACACTAGAGTGTCGCCTCTTGATCATTCTAAGCTCTTTGGCGGCACTGTGGCTCAGTGGTGTCGCACCGTGGCCTCACAGCAAGAAGGTCAGTGGTTTGAGTCTCGGCTGGGTCAGTTGGTGTTTCTGTGTGGAGTTTGCATGTTCTCCCCGTGTTGGCGTGGGTTTCCTCCGGGTGCTCCGGTTTCCCCCACAGTCCAAACACATGCACTATAGGGGAACTGATCAACTACACTGGCCATAGTGTATGAGTGTGTGTGAATGGGTGTGTATAGGTGTTTCCCAGTACTGGGTTGCAGCTGGAAGGGCATGAGCTGTGTAAAACATATGCTGGAATTGTCGGCGGTTCATTCCCCTGATGATTAAAGGGACTGAGCCGAAGAAAAATGAATGACAGACCTGATTATGACAGTTATAAACACTGATATGGAGCATCTGATGGCTTTATTTCACAGGTGGAGGATTAAATACTTCACATTACAGACCTGTTTATTAGAATAGGGGGGAATTTTTATTATCATAAATGTCCAACACACTCCTAAAGTCCCCGAGTCTCATATCGAGCAGAAACCTTTGGAGAAAAGTACCTATTCTTTCATTATTATCCACAACCAGAGCTATTGCTGGTGTTTTGGGGGATTTTCTTTACCGTTTTAGATTAAAACTTTGACCGAACTCCTCAAACACGCTTTATGATTTTATTTCATGCCCTGAACATCAGCAAAGTGGAATAAAAGAGAGTTTCATGACGTTTCTACATTCATGAGATTTTCACACACACACCCACAGCACTCCCATGGAGAGGGAAAGGTTATGATGACGTCAGAGGCTCACAGGAACATCTCATTCAGGTTTCATAGCAACAACAATCATATAAACAGTGCGACATCACACACTTGACTGAGTCAGTACATATCATATTGTTATTTTAGTCTCCCTTTTGTATTATTCATTCATTCATTTGATTTTCAGCTTAGTCTCTTTATTAATCTGGGGTCAACTCAGTGGAATGAACCAACAACTTATCCAGCATATATTTTTAATAGTGGATGCCCTTCCAGCTGCAACCCAGTACTGGGATACACCCATACACACTCATTCACACACACACACTCATCCTCTACAGCCAGTGTAGTTGATCAGTTCCCCTATAGCGCATGTGTTTGTGGGGGAAACCGGAGCACCCGGAGGAAACCCACGCCAACACGGGGAGAACATGCAAACTCCACACAGAAACACCAACTGACCCAGCCGAGACTCAAGTTAGAGACCTTCTTGCTGTGAGGTGATCGTGCTACCCACTGCACCACCGTGATGCCCCTTTTGTATTATTAACTATTTGAATTCATTTACATGTGTGGAGTTTTATATATATATATATATATATTTATTTATTTAAATTAATTTATTTTTGATAAATAAACTAAAAATGCCTTGGTAATTCACCTATAATTTATTTATATTTTATTTTATTTTTTTTAATAATGATTAATTTCTATATTTTAACATTTTTTCCGATGCTTTTATTCATATTTTTGTAATAATTTTTAAATATTTGAATATTCATTAGCAGCTGTTGAAAGGTCTTCTAATTCCTCTGTTATATCTGTTCTGATTTGCATTAAATAAATTTGCATTCAGCATTAAATAAAACACTCTTTCATATCAGTGACCCAGAAATATGTGTGTGTGCTGGCATGTCTCTTTAGTGATGTGTGTGTGACAGCTGAGGGTGTGTGTGAGATAGTGATGTTATCATAAATGCAGGTTTTACAGCAGAATCTTCCAACAGAAGCACAAAGACCAAAGATCCTGTCGAGTCAAACACACTGAAGTGCATCATGTTGGTTTAAGGATCCATAAAATAAAACACTTAATAAAAATAAAGATATTGATATTCATTCTTTCATCCATTCATTTTAGCTTTATTTATCAGGGGTCGCCACAGCGGAATGAACCACCAACTATTCCAGCATATGATTTACACAGCAAATGCCCTTCCTGGTGCAAACCAGTACTAGGAACCCGGAGGAAGCCCACGCCAACACGGGGAGACATGCAAACTCCACATAGAAACACCAACTGACCCAGCCGAGACTCAAACCAGAGACCTGAGTGCTGTGAGGCCACAGTGCTACCCACTGCGCCACCGTGCCGCACATAGCATGAGAGATGAGTGTGATTATTTTATTCACGCAGGATGATCTGTGTTTGCACATGTTTGTTCTATTGTGAAATGTTCTGCAATGAATCTCTCTGTGTGCGTCAGAGGAATGTGAGGACTGTCAAAAATGTGCCCTGAACACATTTCCCTGATTATTCTGAGCTGCACACAAGATCAAAATAAAGATCCTGGCAACACTAATGAAAGAAGCTCTGAGTTAAAGAGCACAGACGATTATTCATCATGCACACACACATCTGAGAAAGGGAATGAACATTTGAACATGCTCGTTCTCATTTAGGCAGCACAGTGGCCTCACAGCAAGAAGGTCTCTGATTTGAGTCCCGGCTGGGTCAGTTGGTGTTTCTGTGTGGAGTTTGCATGTTCTCCCCGTGTTGGTGTGGGTTTCCTCCGGGTGCTCCGGTTTCCCCCACAGTCCAAACACATGCGCTATAGGGGAACTGATCAACTACACTGGCTGTATGTATATGTGTGTGTGTGCGTGTGAGAGAATGAGTATGTATGGGTGTTTCCCAGTACTGGTTTGCAGCTGGAAGGCGTAAAACATATGCTGGAATAGTTGCTGGTTCATTCCGCTGTGGCAACCCCTAATGAATAAAGGGACTCAGCTGAAGGAAAATGACTGAGTGATCATTTGTTTATTTATTTATTGTTATTTATAAGAGGTTTAACTATTTATTGACAAAACACAGATCACTATTTAACTGATAGTGAATGTTTATGAAGTACAATGAGTTTATTTTGACTGAAATATAAATTACAATACTGAAGCCTGCTAAAGTTACATATTTAAATAACACAGACTAGCTTATATTCAGCCCATAAAACTAATTATGCCTAGTTTATGCGAATTATGTTGACATTTTTAACAATTTATCAGTTTATTAGCACTGATTAAAACACATTCACTGATTGGCTAATGTTCTGATCAGATACAATATGGGTTTAGATTTTAATTTGGGTTCTAAGTTATGACTAATGTATAAGATTCAGAACAGTTCAGAGATTTTAAATGTCAAATGGGTGTATAAAATATAGGCATTATCAAGCCCTAATCACTATTTTAATCTGATAGTGAATGTTTATGATGTCTAATTTATTTATTTTGACTGAAATTCAAACTTGAATCAATTAAAAATGTCATATAAATAACAACTGGAGCATTTCATCCATAGTGGAAAAGCAATGTATGTCTAGTTTGTGTGAATTCTGTTGACATTTCAAACAACATTTTAGTTTATAACAGTGATAAAAATCATATATGATTTTTATCACTGATTAGCTGATGTTCTGATCAGATACAGTGTGGTTTTAGATTTCAGTTTGGGTAGTAAGTTGTGACTACATTTATAAAATACTGATTCTTTAGATCCAGAACAGTTCAGAGATCGTAAATGTTCATAATTGGGTGTAAATGAAGGTTAATAATAACAATGAGCTTCAGTTTTTCCACTCATACGTGTGTGTGTGTGTGTGTGTGTGTGTGTGTGTGTGTGTGTGTGTGTGTGTGTGTGTGTGTGTGTGTGTGTGTGTGTGTGTGTGTGTGTCTGTGTTTGTTTACGGCGCCATCTTCTGGAGCTCTGAGATCAGACTTCCGCATATTTTACACTCTTTAGCTTTTACCAGAAGAATTTTAAGCCTCCAGGAAGATCATCACGTTGAATCTCCTGAAATACCACGATCCACACGTGAATAAAAACTAATAGAACCGGACATGAAGCCAGTATAAACGGGATCACGCGCTTATGAATGACTCTACTGTAAATACAGCGTGACGAATGAAGGTCACGTGTTCGCCCTCACAGCCAATAGCAGCCCATATAAACACACTCATTTATCCTGAAGCGATAAAACACTCGTCTTAATGCTCAGCTCCACATTTAATTTTTAAAATTTCAGATGTACATATAAAGCTACTGAATTATGAAGTTATTCTATGAAACAATGAATAATTAGGAATGTTAAGTGTTAAGCACAAGTGTAGCATCCAGTACTCCAGTCCTGCGCGTGTCAGTGTGGAGCTGCGCCCAACGGAAGTGATGTTTCTTCGCTGCTTTCAGTGTGTTGTTGGGTTTTCATCGTTGTAACATTTAATTTATAATGATGCATTTGTAAGTAATTTGATGTTATATTAATAATAGCAATTATTAGTGTCATCCCCAAGAGTGTTGTGGGAGCGCAGTTGTGCGCATGCGTGGAGCCGCTGAGCTGAATGAACTGAGGCGACTGAACACGGAGTCGAAATTCCGAGTTGTGCAATTGAATTATCGGTGTAGACATGAGTTTGGCGAACAGCAGAGAACAGCGCAGCACTGCGGGAAACCGCATGTCCAAACTGCTGGACGCAGAAGAGGAGGATGAGTTTTACAAGACCACATACGGAGGATTCAATGATGTGAGCAGCGCACAACCAACACATTACCGCTAATATCTGCGGGACGCGTGTGTGAATGAGTGTGTTTATATGGTCTAATTACACAAATTAAGTATATTCAACACGTTTAATTGATGTTATTGTTAACTGCAGAACATCTTTATGTAAATAAATGAGATAAAGTTGGTTTAATTATAGCAGATTTGTTCATTTTTATGAATAAAGTTTCAACTATTGTGTTAATCACTGTTATTACTGTTGGGTCTGACATCGCGTGTAAATATGACTTCAAAACAACATTAGCACTGTTTAATAGACTGTAAACAATGTTGTACTTTGATAGACATTGGTTGCTAATATAGTTTCCCTATTTCTGAAATTATATTATTAAGGCGAAAGTTCTAACCCCAATACTCTATGGATGTATGGATGGATGTATGGATGGATGTATGGATGGATGTATGTATGTATGTATGTATGTATGTGTGTATGGATGTGTGTATGGAAGTGTGTGAGAGTGAATGTACATTTTGTTAACATTACATTACTTGTGTTCAACACGTTACCTTTATGTAACTATGTTCTTGTGCATCCTTATTAAATTGATTTATTTTATAATGTTGGCAAGAAAGATAGAATTTTTATTTAAATTGTATTATTTTGCGCTCATTTCTTTTCATTTCTCTATTTAAGACATGTTTTTAAAAAAATCAGGACCCTCATATGTGTGATAATTATTATTGTCATTATTTAATTATTTATATAGAATTTATTTAATAATTTTATAAACACCAACTGAAGTGGCATGTGATTTTAAATCTTTAATATGAACAAATAATAAATAAATAATACAATTATTTAATAATTTATCTTATATATATATATATATATATGTATATGTATGTGTGTACTTTTAAAAAAAAGTTTAGTAGTAATCATTAGGACTGATGCTGGTTAAAACAATATATGTCCATTAAAATATGCACGCAGTGCTGAACATAATTGAGTACAGCCCATTTTGAAAATGAACATCTTTCTCCATTTTTTTTCAGTAAATATAGGCGGTGTATTCTGGTGCAATTAAACAAAACAGATTTATTAAGCTGATATATTTGTTACAATAATATTTTAGTCACCAAGCATCTTTAGAAATTGAAAGACAATACAATTAAGTTCAAGCAAAATATTGCACTTAACTAAATGCTCAATGTTTTAGTTTTCTTTATTTTTCCTTATTTCAAAATTTGTATTTAATATTTTTCTATAGCATATAAATGTAGCTGTGCTAGTGTTTGGAGCGATATTGTAAGTTATTTTGTTAGATGAGCTCCAGGTTTGGCTTCAGCACTGACTAATCTAATGTATATGCACAGATATAATACTGCAGAGCTTCCTATTAAGCATATGAATATACAAGAGAGATTTGTGAGGGGTGCACTTATATATGCTGAGCACTGCAGATATATTTACCTCAACAATATTTCTCGACAGACGTTTTCCTTTAAACTCTTTTCATTTACATTCAAGCATTAAAGTCAAATTGCATTAGTAAATGTAGACGTTAACAGTAAATAAGCTGAATGTTTTTCCTGATATCAGCTGATGTCTGGTGTCTTTTCTAATATAAAATGTGTGCTGTGGTGTTTGCCGTGGCGATTCTGCAGGAGTCTGGAGATGATGAGTACCACGGCGATCACTCAGACACAGAGGACGAGGTGGACAGCGACTTCGACATCGATGAAGGAGATGAACCTGATAGTGGACAGGAGGAGGACGCACCGAAGAGGAAGAGCCGTGTCGTCACCAAAGCATACAAGGTCACAAATCACACAGAGAGAGAGAGTGTGTGTGCGCGTGTGCGTGTGTGTGTGTGTGTGCGTGTGTGTGTGCGTGTGTATGCAAGCTCATATATATGTGTGTGTGTGTGTGTGTTCAGGAGCCGCTGAAGGTCTCCAAGCCCAAAGTGAAGCGAGTGTCTGAAGAATTAAAGCCGGAACGACCCAGAGTTGAGCGGCGCACCGTTCGGGACGAGCTGCAGGATTTAGGAGACAGTGAGACACACACACTACATTTAACCGATTTCACATGTGAAAGTAGTTTTAATTTTAATTGTAGTTTCTTTTGTTGTTATTTTGATGTGTATAATATGTTTGTAGTTCTTGTTAAAGGTCCTCTGAAATGATAGCGTTGTACATGTTAGTCTTCAGGATATCTTTAATCTAGTGTCTCCAAAACAGTGACCCAGTTCACATTTAGCGGATATAAACCTGATATATAAACATCTACAGGTGGAATCAATTATTTTTCTGTTGTCGTCTCATACTTGAGTCACTCATCAAATCTGCTGACCAATCAAATGCTCTCTAGTGTCTGACATGCCCCGCCCACTACTTTTCATGCTGTTCATTTGATCCACCACTCTCACTGGCAGAGCTGAAAAAATCTAACACTATTGGCTGATATTTAAAAAAGGGAGGAGCTATATTATGCCCCGCCCTCTAACGTCTCGCATCAATAAAATAAAATGCTCATTTCAAAGCAGTGCACGGGACCTTTAATAAACATTTTCTTTAATTTATGACATAAATTGTTTCATGAAAAGGCACAGCTCAAACAATCGGGTGTTTTCTGAATGTAAAACAAAAGTAAACCTGTAGTGCTGTTGCTGTCTTTCAGTCCGTAAGTCGGTGCGCAAGTCGACGAGTGAACACACGCGCAAGACAAACGAGCGTCTGCAAGAGCGCCAGCAGGAGGCGCCGCGCAAGAGGAAAGGAGCGCAGAGCGAACGCGTGCTGACGCAGGACGAGCTGCTGGATGAAGCAAAACTCACCGCCGAGAGCAACCTGCGCTCACTGGGTAACTGCACACCTCCACACCACACTACCTGACAAAAGTCTACGTTTTAGGAACACAGATAATATCTGCTCTTCTAGTTGCTGATCTGGTGTCTGAAGTGTCTCTATGAAAGGTGAAGGCCTCTAGATTTTGCTGATTTGAGCTCAGTAAATCTGATCATGTCTTGATGTTGACTGATTTGATGAGGACAGTGCGCTCTGACTCTGCTCAGACTAAAGTCTCATCACTGAACAGAAATAATGTCCAGTATAGAATATAAAGTCCTGCTGCAGTGGAGACAGAATGAAGATTGTGTCTGACTCCATCATGAGCTTGGAGGACTGCATCCATACATCTCTGACATGACTCACATCACTGATTAATAAAGTCATCTGGAATGAAGAAGAAAGCTTCAGCAGAGTTCATCAAGAGTCTTTGTGTTCATCTTCAACACCTCCTCCTTCATCAGCTCAATAATGTTGATGTCTGGTGACTGGGCTGGCCAATCCTGGAGCACTCTTTGTTTCAGGATCTTTGATGTGGAGGCTGAAGTATGAGCAGGAGCGCTATCCTGCTGGAGAATTGTCCCTCTGCTGTGGTTTGTAATGTAATGGGCAGCACAGATGTCTTGATACCTCAGGCTGTTGATGTTGCAGATCTCTCCATACTGAATGACCCCAAACCATGATGTCTCCTTCACCAAACTTGACTGATTTCTCTGAGAGTCTTGGTCCATGCTGGCTCCAGTAGGTCTTCTGCAGTATTGGTGATGATTGGGATGCAGATCAGCAGATGATCCAGCAGAGAAATCCACCTCTGACACTTTATAATCAACTAGAAGAGCAGATATTATCTGCGAGATCCACCACAAGACTTCAGTCAGGCAGTGTGTATATAATCATTATAATACTGCCAGGTATCATGCATATTAGAGGCAAGTAGGGTTGCAGCAGCTGTTCTAGCTTAAACTAGGATGTAAAGTCCACACCAGAGGGTGAAATACCTACTAGCTAGTTCTTAACTAAATTTGTTCCTGCAGCACGTGTTCTTAAAGTAAAATGCAGTTAGTATGTCGTAAACTCTCTGTCAAGTAATGCATTGAATGACGTTATATCCAATAGGACGTGTTTATGTTGTTACTTCTGAAAGTAATGCATTACAATATTGAAAAGGTAACTAGATGTGTGACTTAGTTTGGTAGGTAATGTGTTACGATACATTTGTTTAACTTGTTCTGCCCCGGCTGAGATTGTTCTGTTTACAGGACTTATTTTTTTGTTAATAGAGGAGCTCTGCAGTGAGCAACACACTGTATAACCTTCATTTCCCTTCAAAAACACATCAGACAATAATAATGTAGGATAATGCAATCTTCTGAGAACTTCCAGAGCTCTCCATGCCGTATATGCAGGTTAATGACTGTTTAAAGCAGTGTGTTTGCTGCTCCTAGTCCTAGTGCAGTAAAATCACTGATGAGCCTTCGCAGTCTGCACGTTATAATGGTGTGTGTGTGTGTGTGTGTGTGTGTGTGTGTGTGTTTTTCAGAAAACTACGAGCGTCTGGAGGCCGATAAGAAGAAGCAGGTTCATAAGAAGAGGCGGTTTGAGGGTCCGATGATCCGCTATCACTCGGTGCTGATGCCGCTGCTGCCCGACACACACCTGAAGGAGGAGAACGTCGACGTGGAGGGGTAAACGCACACACACACACACACGCAAATAAAACACTACTGTAAACACACACACATTATTACAACTTCTGTAAAAACACACACACACACACACACACACACACACTTCAACACACAGATTAACACAACACTACTGTAAACACACACACATTAATAAAACACTATTATTGCAGTGGTATATCATATATTAATTTGTGTTAATAATATAATTTCTTTGCTCTCCATCTAATATTAATGTTTGAGTCAGTATATAATAATAACAGCAGTTTATTGTGAATGAAACACCATTGATCGACTCCGCCCTCTTCTTGTAGGCTGGACCAGGACACACCCCAGGCCACACCCACCTCGTCATCCTCCACACAGGGGGCGGGGTCTCTGTGCTCACGGACTTACATCACTTTCAGTGATGATGAGGCGTTTAGCTCCGCCTTCCCGTCGGCGGCTCGCTGTACCCCCACACACCCAGTGCAGGAGGTGTGTCCTGTGACCCATAAACCCGCCCTGTACCGCGACCCCGTGACCGACATCCCATACGCAAACGCCAGAGCCTTCAGGATCATCAGAGAAGCTTATCAGAAATACATCGCCGCTCACGGATTCCCCAATGCTTCCGGAAGCTTCAGCGCTAACACCGACGCTAGCGATTCACCTGCTAATTTGAAGAGCGCACGACCCAAAGCTGTGCTCAAGCAGAGCGCCGCCGCCACTTAAAGACACCGTTCACCCAAAAATCTACATTTACACTGTTTACTCACTCTTCAAACCTTTATGAGCTTTATTGAAGAATGCTGGAAACCGGTAACCATTAACTTCCATTGTAGGAGTAACAAATGGATGTGAATAGGTACAGGTTTTCAGCATTCTTCAAAATATCTTTCTTTTTGTTTTACATAAGAAAGAAAGTCATAGTTATTAATTATAAAATTAATACATAAAATTATTATTATTATTATTATTATTATCATTAGTAGTAGTAGTACTATCATCCTCATCATGAAGGTTTAAGGGGAGTAAATGATGAGAGATTTGTTATTTTTTGGGTGAACTGTCTCTTTAAACAGCACAATGGTTTTTGTGTAGTGTTTATAAGCACATCACAGGTCTGAGCATGCTCAGTAGTGTTCTAAAATGCACACTTTACCATGAAGACTTCATTTGATAACATCAGCTAATGCTATTTACAGGCTTTTACAGTACCTTTTTAAAGCGAGAGTTCAGCCACAAATTTAACTTTACTTACTCACTTTTGAGGGTTATAGACATGAGTTTTTTTTCTTCAGTTAAACACTAAAGAAGATATTTTGAAGAATGCTGGAAACCGGTAACCATTGACTTCCATTGTAGGAGTAACAAATGAAAGTGAATGGGTACAGGTTTTCAACATTCTTTAAAAAATCTTCTTTTGTGTTCAACAAAAGAAAGAACGTATAAAGTTATTAATTATTTAATTAATATTATTATTATTAGTATTAGTAGTAGTAGTAGAGGTAGTAGTAGTAGTAGAGGTAGTATCATCTTAAAGGTTTGAAGGGTGAGTAAATGGCGAGAGATTTGTTATTTTCGGGGTGAACTGTCTCTTTAAACAGCATAATGATTTTATTTTGTGTTGTGTTTATAAGCTCATCACTCAGATTTGAGTCTGAGCATGCTCAGTAGTGTTCTAAAATGCACAATTTACTATTAATATTCATTTGATAGCATCAGCTAATGCTGTTTACAGGCTTTTTCTAATAAAGTACCTTTTAAAGAGACGGGTCACCCTTAAATTTAACTTTACTCACTCTTGATGGTTATAAACACGTTTTTTCTTCAGTTAAACACTTAAGAAGATCTTTTGAAGAATGTTGAAAACCGGTAACCATTGACTTTCATAGCAGGAAAAACAATTGGAAGTCAATGATTTCAGATTTTCAACATTCTTCAAAATATCTTCTTTATTGTTCAACAGAAGAAAGAAATTAAAAAGGTTTGTAACGAGTGACGGGTGAGTAAATAATGACAGGATTTCAATGTTGGGTGAACGGTCTCATTCATTTTCACTTACAGGTTCATTAATGCTGAAATGTATATATAAATATTGATCTTTCTTTGTTCATGTTAGCTGATGGAACGTGAACAAATGAGATTCTATTGCAAAGCATTGACTCAAATGAATCAATCCGAGTGATTCAAAGCTTCGTTTACTGAGGACTGAGCACACATCACCAGCATCGGCTCCCTACTGTTATATTTCTGATTTATTGTGTTTTTTTATTATTGTTTTTCTATTTTGTATGAAGCAGGAATAAAACAATGTGATTGAAGAACTTGAGTGATTGTTTGATTTGATTTTTTGTAATGATTATTTTGCAGTGCGATACTACACATGTAGAAATGTTACAGCAACATGTGAGTTTAGACTTTTTAGACAGTTTAGTTGAGTTTTTCTTAATCTAATATCTATATCACATATCTAATAAAGAGATGATAATGGATAAGGAAGATAATTTCAACTTCATTTGAGAATTACACAAACTTAGGTTACATTCCTGTAATTATTTGTGCTTTTTTAACCACTATTATAAGAAAGAAAGGTTATTGTGATTTTCTATCTCATCATTTTAATTCACATTTCTAATTTCTAAATCAAATTCTCTCTCGGCCCTAAACCATCATCCCCATCATCGGGCCTCCCAATCATCCCCATCCACCAAATTGGCTCTATTGCTGTCTCTTCACTCCACTCTTCATGGGTGTTTCCCAGTACTGGGTTGCAGCTGGAACGGCATCTTATATGTAAAACATATGCTGGAATAGTTGGTGGTTCATTCCGCTGTGGTGACCCCTGATAAATAAGGGAGTAAGCCAAAGGAAGATAAATGATTCTGACATTTTCATTTCTTAAGATTGTAAGAGGAGATTTGGATTTATCTATCTATCTATCTATCTATCTCCTGAAGATCCCCAAGTAAAAGCATATTTGAGGTAAAAACAGTACTTTATTCTTAAACATTAAAACATTGATCAGGTCAGATCTACTCTGATTTGAACATTACTGTTGATTTTTAACAAAATACAACAAAGGAAAACAGAAAGAAATCACTTTACTGATGAACAGATCTGTACAAGAAGTCCAGTGTTGTGTAAGTATGTGTTTGTTTCTGGAAATGGTGTTAAACTTCATAATCAGACGTTAGTTGTGTTCAAATCCTCCATTTTCTTCATTAAAAAGCAGAATGTCTAAATGGCCGCCTTTTTCCTGTCAAACTCAGAAGACGTCTGAACTCACTGACTTTCATATCATCTTTTGTTTCCCACAGAAGAATCTCCTGCAGTTCTGAACCACAACTAATAAAATACATCAAAGTCTGTCAACCAGAAACAGTTTTATCTCAGTATACACTGAATATTGAGTAGGGGGCGGGGTTGTAGATTTGCGCTTGATCTCTCGTCTTTCAATCACATGAAATAACGGTCATAGGGGCGTGGCTTATATTTCGCCAATTCCTCAAACAGAGAAGGACTCTGATGGTAAGGTTTTAATCAAAGATTACCAAAACAAACAGTGTTTTTGTGGATTATTTTCACGAATTGTTCACTTTAAGACTAATGCTTGATTCACACATAACACAGAGCTTGCTATCACTCGCTCTAGTTGACTCGCGGGATGTTTTGTCTCGCAACTGTTTGAGTTTCCAGTAGACGCGATTCAGGCGAATTCCGCGCAAATTCACCGTCGGTTACTCTTTAATCAACATGGATTATTTTGCATTGATTTTGTTTGTAATGTACTCACATGAACACCTAATTTTGTGAACCCAGATTAACATTGTGCGGTAGTAAATTAAGCTTTGTACATGTTGACATTAGGAGATGTTTAACCTGAGCATTCTGAATTGAGGTGAAGTTGGTTTTATATTCGCACATTCATTCATTTAATTATCTCTATATTGTTTACTTCTCTACTCTTAATATTCAGTCTTGATTTGGTACAACTGCCCATTAACGCAAATGTCTAATCAGCCAATCACATGGCAGCAGCTCACTGCATTTCAGCATGTAGACATGGTCAAGAGGATCTGCTGCAGTTCAGAGCGAGCATCAGAATGGGGAAGAAAGGGGATTTAAGAGACTTTGAGCGTGGCATGGTTGTTGCTGCCAGACGGGCTGCTCTGAGTATTTCAGAAACTGCTGATCTACTGGGATTTTCACGCACAACCATCTCTAGGGTTTACAGAGAATGCTCCGACAAAGAGGAAATATCCAGTGAGCGGCAGTTCTGTGGGCGCAAATGCCTTGTTGATGAGGACAGAGGTCAGAGGAGAATGGCCAGACTGGTTCCAGCTGATAGAAAGGCAACAGTAACTCAAATAAGCACTCGCTACAACCGAGCTCTGCAGAAGAGCATCTCTGAACACACAACACGTCCAACCTTGAGGCGGATGGGCTACAGCAGCAGAAGAGCACACCGGGTGCCGCTCCTGTCAGCTAAGAACAGGAAACTGAGGTTACAATTCACACAGACTCACCAAAACTGGACAATAGAAGATTGGAGAAACGTTGCTGCTCTGATGAGTCTCCATTTCTGCTCACACATTCGGATGCTCGGCTCACAATTTGGCCCTTAACAACATGAAAGCATGGATCATCCTGCCTTGTATCAGCGGTTCAGGCTGGTGGTGGTGGTGTAATGGTGTGGGGGAGATTTTCTTTGGGTTCATTAGTACCAATTGAGCATGGTGTCAACGATTAAGGCAGTTCTGAAGGCGAATGAGGGTCCAACCCGGTACTAGTGAGGTGTACCTAATAAAGTGGCCAGGGAGTGTAAGTTTGACTTGAAAACAACATAAGCACTATTTAATTGGCTGTGAACACTGATGTACTTTGATAACCATTGGCTGCTGATATGATTTCCATAAGGAGAGTGTAGGAATGTGTGAATAATAACCCAACCTGACCTCAATGCATTCTGAATGGTTCCCATTAGCTGTTATCATTATTCAATAAATGATCATTATCAGCTGGGAAGATGCTAAAAATGAGTCTAAAATGCGAGTTTTACGGTGTTCTCCGTGCACTCTATAACAATTCTTGCTGGCTTCACTTTTTTAGTTGACTCATTTGAACTCTTTTAGTCATTTCTAGTTGACTTGCATCAATAAAACTGACCAAAAATATTAAGTTAAACTTTGTATAACTTAACAAAATTAGCCTGATTAACCTCTAAAAATAAGTCAGAGCAACATAAACATATTTGTCGTCCTGACTTTATCATCATTATTTTCCTTGACAGTGTGTCTCAGTCCTGTGTTTCCAGCTCAGAGTTTTCCCTCCTCGATCATACGGTTAAGGCCGCTGCAGATCTTGCTCAGGTTGCTCCACAGGTTGCCCTGCGGGTCGTACAGGTGCGTCAGGAGCTCCGGGTTCGAGTAATGGTTGAAGACGTGCCTGATGCGGTCTAGAGATTTGGGCGTGAGGTGTTTCTCCACCAGCTTCAGCAGCAGATCCCGACAATCCGACAGAAGGTTTATCATCACGCTCTTGTCGAAGGTAAACTCCACCTGATGGAGACATGCAGAAACAATTTACATTCATATTTATCGCATTATTAATTTAATTTAAGTGTTTTTGCGTTTAAAATGATTTGTCAGGAAGAATTATTTAGAAACTTTCAGGTATTTCAAGAAATTCAGTAAAGAGAGCACAGTACATGATGATGCAAAGTATAGTATACACTGAAAAGGGGCATATAACGTTATTAGCCCTCTTGTGAAATTTTCATTATTTTTTTAAATACTATATCCAAAGTGCTGTTTAACAGAGCAAGCTCATTTTTAGCAGAATTTATATTTTTCTACTCATATTTCTTTTAATTTGGCTTAAATAAAAGCAGTTTTTACATAAAAACAATAACAATTTAAGGTCAATATTATTAGCCCCCTTTACTTAAAGGTGCAGCATGTAAGATTGACACCCAGTGGTTGATCTAGGTATTGCACATCTGTTTCAAAACAAATGCAAGTGCAGGTTGTCAGATTGACTACGGCAACAGCAGTGTGCCTGACTGTCAAGCCTAAAGGCTGATTTAAATGTGTTCTAAATAAACGACACATGATAGAACAGATATTTTCATGTTAAAAGGAGTTTTTGTTCTAACCAACACCTCAAATTTATAATTTAGAAACGGCTTCTATTTCTCACAGGTGAAAACTGATCAGCTCAGGCACTCCTCGTGTGCTTTGTTCAGGGTTAAATGCTCATAATGTGAGTTTGAATGACATTTTACATGACATTTACAGTCATACTACTGAAAGCAGCAGCCGATAGTTCAGCTCAGTTCTGGAAAATAAAATAAAGCTTCTGAAACTGAACTTCAGAACTGAGACTCAGTGCAAACCAACACATATCAGTGATTCAGCATCTACATTTAATCATGTTCAAGAGTTTTATTATGTATTAATTGGATTATAAACCTTACAATTTGGCTGGCGTGCAGTGAGTGCACTATTTTGAGCTTCTAAATGGCTGTATTTACATTTCTGTTTCGATTTGTTTGGTGCAAACAGCCAGATATCACTGCATATCTCGTCACGTAGTGTGTTTGTTAGGACACGAGGTTAACATGTGACCTGCTCACCTAATGTTTACAATCCTAATATTTATATTATTTGCTAATTAATAACCTCATGTGGAACTCTGAATCTGCGTCTCATTTCGGAGGCTGCTGCTGTCCACCAGTGGTTGCAGTTTAGTTGCGGACGCACACTTTGAGAGCCTTCCTGACTGAATGAGTGAATGAATTAAATACACTGGAAAATATAATTGGCTAAACTGACATTGGGCGGGTTAAAGGGATCAAAACAAAGACAGACGATCCAGCAACGTTCGCCACAGTGGAATGAACCAGCAACTAATCCAGCATATGTTTTACGCTTTGCTGTTAGTTTCAGTCATATCTCATTACACCGCATGAGTGATATGACAGCGGACTGAATCAGATAAACAGTTTCACTTGCAGCAGAATGCATCCGCACCAAAAGCACATAGTTTATCCTCAAAATGAGCCTAAAATCCCAAAATTAATTCTCTAATTAATAATAATAAACATCCAAAAGCACACATGTAATAAATGTGATGACTGCGCTATAGAAAGATTAAACCACAACCATTACAGCACGTGAGCTGTCACTATGCAGTGTCTAGGGGATCAGAGTAGTGCAGATACAGGGTGTTCGAGCTGGTGGCTGCAGTGTGCAGTTTCTGCAGTGTTTGTTGTAGTATTGCTCTGGGTGGCTGGTGTTAGGCTTCTAGGGTTTTCTGGATGGTTGCTAGGATGATCAGGGTAGGCCGTGTGGATGTGGATTTCTGAGCAGTTTCATCCTGACTGATGTGACATGAACACAAACACACTGAACTGGTAAACATCACGCTTTATTCACCAGAGTCAAGAATCTGTATTCACCTTTAGGAACACCTGTGTGTGTGTGTGTGTGTGTGTGTATCTGTTTATCTATGTATATATGTATGTGTGTGTGTGTGTGTATAATATGTGTGTGCATGTTGGTTTATATGTGTGTGTGTGTGTGTGTTTATGTGTGCGTTTCCATGCATGTGTAGTGTATGTGTGCATCTGTGTGTATATGTGTGTGTGTGTATATGTGTTTATGTGTGTGTGTGTGTGTGTGTGTGTATGTATGTGTGCATGTCTGTTTAGGGTGTGTGTGTTTGTGTGTGTGTTTGTTTAGTGTGTGTATATATGTTCATGTGTATGTGTATTTATGTGTGTGTAGTGTGTGTACACACGTGTGTGTGTGTGTGTGTGTGTGTGTGTATACATATTCATATATTTATGTGTTTGTGTGTGTCTGTGTATCTGTGTGTATATATACATGTGTGTGTGTGTGTGTATAAAATGTGTGTGCATGTTGGTTCAGTGTTTATTGTATGTGTGACATATATATCTGTGTATGTGTGTTTATGTGTGTGTTTCCATGTATGTGTAGTGTGTGTGTGTGTGTGTGTGTTTGTATGTGTGTCAATATGTCTGTGTGTGTGTTTGCAAGTATGTGTAGTGTGTGTGTGTGTGTGTGTGTGTGCATTTGTGTATGTATGTGCATGTGTAAATAATGCAGTTTAAATTTGTGTGTGTGTGCATGTATATGTGCAATATATATATATATATATATTTGTGTGTTTGTGTGCACATTTGTATATATAGTATATGTGTGTGTATATATGTGTGTGACTGTGTAGTGTGTGTGCATGTATATATGTATGTGTTTACATATATGTGTGCGTGTATGTGTGTGCGTGCGTGCGTGCATGTATTTATGTGTGTATATATATGTGTGTGTAGTAGTGTTTGTGCATGTGTGTATATATGTGTGTGTGTGTGTGTGTGTAGTAGTGTTTGTGCATGTATATATATGTGTGTGTGTAGTAGTGTTTGTGCATGTATATATGTGTGTATCTCTGTGTGTGTGTGTGTGTGTGTGTTAGTACCTCCTGGAAGCTGATGGCCGTCATGGCTCCGTGATGCAGTTTTTTCCTGAACTCCTGTGCGATGCTGAGCTCCTCTGCGCTGAACTTCTCATGCCGGAACAGAACTCCGACCTTGACGGCGATCTTGATCATGTTCTTGACCACCTTCTGGGCCTCTGCGCGGTTCCCCGAGTGCTCCTTGGAGACGCGGTACAGCTCGTCCAGCACCTCGCTGCTGTTGTCGTCGATGAACATCTGAGCCACAGATTTGCTGGCCATGCGGCTCAGGATCTTCTTCTGCGCCTGCATGGCCATGTCTTTGGAGCTGAAGGCCTCCATCTGCGCTCGCCGAGCTGACGGACACACAGCAGGCCCGGTGTGTGTGTGTGTGTGTGTGTGTGTTTACCTGCTGCTGCAGTCCGAGGTGTTTGCGTCGAGTGTGTGTTGTGTCGTTTGAGGAAGTTGTGTCTTCCGCTGTGTAACTGTGGGAGGAAACGGTGTGATCGGAGGAGATATATGTCACTTCTGCTTTGTGTCACACACTCTTTTTGTTTCAGACTCTTGAGTAACGTCTCGATTTGGGCTTCATGATGTGGGGAGAAACTGGCATTGGGATATTTAGTTGTTCCCCGATGTACAGCAGTACTGAACACGTCTCCATTTCTCTCTGAAAACATGTTTCTAAAGGTGCTGAAATGTTCACCAGATGTTGGTAACAAGCAAAGAAATCCTCATGTGCAAAGAAAACAAGTGTGGTTTATTTATGAACTCATTCCGAGAGGATCCTGTGCTTATGATCGAACACAGCTAGTGCCGCATCAGCTCCGTATATTTGCACCAATCAGATAAAAGCCCCTTTCACACATACAGACCTCTCCGGAAAATTACCAGCAATTTTCCAGAAAGGTTGTTTGTGTGAACAGGCCCTTTTTGAAAATATCGGTAAATTCGTTCTGGCTATTTTCCGGAAAGAGAAGTTGTAACATTACCGGTAATTTGCCGGAATGCAGAAGGAAGATTGCCGGAAAGAGCGCGTCCACGTCTAGAACGTGCTGACGTGAGACACCTGCTTTAGCCAATCACAACAATCTAAGGCATTCACGTGCGCGCGGTTTATGAGAATAAAAGTCTTTGAATATTTTTTCCAGACACCTTTAGCTGCTAGATGTTAGTCAGATAATGTTTCTATGTTCCTTCTTAATGCTAACTGTGTAAATAATTATCGATAAAATGTTTATGATAATCCGTTGTTTGTTTACCTTCAAGCTTTGCGTGTGCCCGTGAGCGCCCATAGCGCCAGCACACACAGATATTAGAACATCTCGACATGCGCAAGTGTTCCTCTATGTTTTCATTAGATTTGTACTCCATACTGATCCATCTGAAGAGTTTGTAATTTAGTCAAATGTTTACAAACACAAGCGCAGCCGTTTAGAGGTCATTTCTGGGTAATGATGTCAGGATTTAACGGCATTTTGCGATGGATGTGTGAATGCTCTTTTCCGGAAAAATTCCGTAACGTCCTCGCCTGTGTGAACAGCGCTTTTTTGAATATACCGGTAAAGTCGTTCTGGAAATTTTCCGGATATTTACCGGTATCACTGTGTCAAAGAGGCTAAATAATGACACATTATAAATGACCAGATATTTCTACTCCAGTCATCTTCATCTTGAAGAATCCCCCCTTCCACCCCTACTCCTCCTCTTCTCTGATAGGGCAGCACAGCAGCCCAGTGGGTAGCACTGTGGCCTAACAGCAAGAACACTGCTTGTGTTTCTGTGTGGAGTTTGCATGTTCTCCCCATGTTTTGCGTGGGTTTTGCCCAGGTTCTCGGTTTTCCAGAGTACCCTCGGGGTCTTAAAAGCATTGAATAAGTCTTGAATTTGATGATCTCACATTAAGGCCTTAATAGTCTTGAATTTGGTATACAAGTCTTGGATTTCGTTACAAAGGTCTTATTTTATTCATTTACTTTTGCCTTTCCTAGAATTAAAGCTCATACCCTAACAAATGAACTGTTACTAATGTAGACTAATTAAAAAGTTCATGCAGCGTAACGTTGAGTGCATCTCGAAGGGCGTCGCCGTAGCTTAGGCTACTATGGTTTGTGAGACGAGCGCGAGTATTAACAATGGACCTACTTCTTAAAAGCGGAGAAACTGTGCACAATTTGACTGTGTGCGTGTTTTCTAGATGGTCTTTCACTGACACTTACAGCAGAAGCTCCTATTTCACTGCGATTGAGAAAATGAAAGTAAACTCCATTTCTCTCTCTCTTACTGCGGCCCGTTTGACCTGCTGGCGGGACTTTTCCTCTCCTGAATGAGAGAGGGCGTAATGCCGTGTGTCGCTTGCTTGGTGCTTTGTGTCTGTGTGTGTGTTTATACAGAAACCCCCCCCCCCCCCAAATGTAAAACTGTGTATGCGCCGAGATATCGAATTGAATCGAATTGATGACATGATAATCGTAACCGAACCAAACCGTGAGACCAGTATAGATTCACACCTCTAATTTCTACATTAGAAGCATTGCCAGGGAGCACCCTATCTTACTGTGGCTGAACACCAATCAAACTAAAAATCAACTGTGTGTTACGCTGTTGCACATATATTAAATAAATAACTGACAATTTTTATAATATGTAATATTTAATTCAAGTAGTCACTTGTAATTATTTTTAGGGTTCAAAATGTATACAGATTTGACATTTTTCCCTCAAACTTCTGTCGGAATGGGTATGAAGTTGGCATTGAATTTGTTTGAAATGGTATTAAAAAACCTTGAATTTCATGTGGAGGATCCCGAGGGTACCCTGTTTCTCCCACCGTCCAAAGACATACACCATAAGTAAACCAGCTACTTAAAAATAGCATCCTAAGCCAACTCTTAGTCAGATATACCACAGCAGTTCACAACTAGGGGATTTCTCGAGACCTACCTGAGCTCAAACCCTCCTCTCGCCCTTCAAACGAGAAGGAGCCCCGGACTCGAGGATGTTCTGAGCTTAGGGCTCTCTCCAGGGACAGCATGCCAAATACACTTCATAATCAATCATCAGCTGAGTGTGAACTCTTGAAGTCTAATTAGTTTAAAAATGAAGTTCTGTGGCGTCACGGTGGAGCAGTGGGAAGCACAATCACCTCACAGCAAGAAGGTCACTGGTTCCAGTCCCAGCTGCATGTTCTCCCAGTGTTGACGGGGGTTTCCTCCACAGTCCATACACATGCACTATAGGGAATTGATTAACTAAATTGGTTGTAGTGTATGAGTGTGAATGCAGGAGTTTACCAGTATTAAGTTGCAGCTGGAAGGGCATGCGCTGTGTAAAATGTATGCTGGATAAGTTGGTGGTTCATTCCGCTGTGGTGACCTCAGATTTATTAAAGGACTAAGCTGAAGAGTTTAGTTCTGTTTAATAAAATTAAATAACTCAGGGAAAAGTATTAAACACATGAAGAAAGGAAGGAGTATTTGGGCAGTGAAAGCCCAGACAGCAGTTGAAATCTCTCAGTAGTTCTTCAGCAATCCTCTGCTCTTCCTCAATTTAAATGAAGATCAGCTGCTTCAGTCCAACATCTACATCAGCAGGAGGATGAAGATCAAACCATTTCAGCAAGACAATGATCCAAAACACAGCCGAGGAGACTTTCAGATGCTTTCAGAAAAAGAAAATCAAGCTGTAGAATGGCCCAGCCAATCACCTGATCCGTATCCAATAAAGAACATTTGATTTGACGAGAGCCACAGAAGCATCAAGATTTTGACACTCTGTTGAAGTCTGTGAGGAACTTACACCTGAGCAATGCATGTTACCTCAGTTTCCATATGAGAGGCGTCTTCAAGATGCCAGCAGCAACAAAACCTTTTATATAAAGTATTAAATACATCTCAGCAGTTCAGCTCTTTCTCCAGCTGTCAATCCAATCCAACACTTATTTTCCCTCATTATATATTGCGATATACACTTCACCAGATGACTTCAATAGCTCTATATTTGGAATCAGTTCATCTGACATGTTAATTGATAATGCATGAAATATAATTAACAAATTAAAAGTAGGCAGTAAGCAAGGGTTAGTAGGGTTATTAGGGTTGTTTCAGCATTAACATGTGAAAAAGTTTTTAACTATTAGGCTAATTAACCCAATAAAAATCTCCAAGCGTTTGGCTCTGTTATGAACACCACAGCAAAAACACTCTGAATGCTCTTAAAAAGCACACTAATAATGAAGTGCCCTCAACATCAGTATTGGGCATGTTCATGATCACCATATATTGAATTCACTCATTCATTTTCTTTTCAGCTTAGTTCCTTTGTTAATTAGTAACTATTCCACCATGTTTTACGCAGCAGATAACCTTCCAGCTGCAACCCATCACTGGGAAACACCCATACACACACACAAACACACACACACTCATACACTACGGCCAGTGTAGTTGATCAGTTCCCCTATAGCGCATGTGTTTGGACTGTGGGGGAAACCGGAGCACCCGGAGGAAACCCACGCCAACACGGGGAGAACATGCAAACTCCACACAGAAACACCAGCTGACCCAGCCGGGACTCAAACCAGAGACCTTCTTGCTGTGAGGCCACAGTGCTAACCACCATGCCACTTTTGATATCATGATATCTGATATTATGATTAACTGTTAATATCATCTGATTGTCTGTGAATATCCCGTGTGTTGGTGTGTGTTCACAGTTCCCTCAGTTCCCGCTACTTCAGCTCAAACTCAGATATTTCCAGCTCGCGTTAGCTGAAGTGAACACAGCGTCATCATGATTACAGCAGTCTGGCGGAGCATGAATCAGCGTGTGTGAACTAATGCAACACTGGAGCAAGTGTGTGTCACTGAAGGAGACTGGAGCAATAAACATGATGCAACATATGTGTAATCCACAAACTGACTGACTCCTTAGCTCAGTGTGTGTGTGTGTGTGTGTGTGTGTGTGTGTGTGTGTGTGTGTGTGTGTGTGTGTGTGTGTGTGTGTGTGTGTGTGTTTGAGATCATAGATAAACATCTGAGTATGATGAGCACACACACACACACACACCGCAGGTAAACACTCTCACTCAACCAAAAAATTAGATGATTTAACTTCACGGCAACAGCTCAGAAGAGAATACCCCGGCAACCACATAGCAACTGCTCAGAAATACCTGGCAACCACATAGAAACCACAACTGCTCAGAACACCCCAGTAACCTCATAGTAACTGGTCAGAACACCCTGGAAACTGCTGAGTTACTACAAATGCTAACAACAGTCTGTTAACTATATAGCAACTAGTCAGAACACCCCGGCAACCACATAACAACTACTCAGAACACCTCAGCACCTACATAGCAACTAGTCAGAATACCCTGACTACCACATAGCAACTACTTAAAATACCCTGACAACCACATAGCAACTAGTCAGAATACC